TGGTTCACTCTCCAAATGACAACAGCCAGGGCTAGGCCATAGGGAAGCTAGGAGCAGGAGCTGCTTCCAGGTCTCCCACATTGGTGCAGGGATCCAAGGACTTGGGCCATCTTCCACTGCTTTTCCAGGCCATAGCAGAGAGCTGGATTGGCAGAGAAGCAGCAGGAACTAGAACCGGCACCCATATGGGATGCTGGCACTTCAGGCCAGAGCTTTAACCCGCTGTGCCACAGCACCAGCCCCAAAAAATGTATGTTTTAATTGCATTTGCCATAGATATTTTTAATTACCCTCATTTTTTTTTTTTTGGCATGGTCTCTGATGTGGCCAGGCTCAATCTTACATCTTGTAGAGCCTTATACTTAGGCAATTTTGAAGTCCTCTTTAAGAAAACTAAGTGTTTTTAATAAATTTTCAAATTTAAAAAATCTGAGAAATATAAGTATTACAAATGCTAGACAAATGAAAATGCAAGTAAATGAAAACCCTCTCATGTTTTCACACAAAGTCTAAGATTAACTGTTATACTTTAGTAGTTCAAAGAGAGTTAATTCATTTATTCATATTTTTCAATTTTACTGAAACATAATTCACATACTGTAACATTCATCCATTTGAAATGTACAATTCAATGGTTTTTATTATATCAGTGTTGTGCAAACATCACCACACAGTCAATTTAGAACATTTGCATCTACCATGATAAATTTGTTATCAGTCAATATACACTTGATTCTACTGTTTTTTGATTTAGTATGTGTGTGTGTTTTTAAAGATTTGTTTATTTATTTGAAAGGCAGAGTTATAGAAGCAGAGGCTGGGGTGGGGGGCGTCTTCCATCTGCTGGTTCACTCCCCAAATGGCTGTGGCAGGGGCTGACCAGATCCAAAGCCAGGAACTAGGAGCTTCTTCCAGGTCTCCCACATGGGTGCAGGGGCTCAAGCACTTGGGCCATCTTCTACTGCTTTCCCAGGCCACAGTAGAGAGCCAGATCAGAGGTAAAGCAGCCAGGACTTGAAGCAGCTCCCATATGGGATGCCAGCACTGCAGGTGGGAGCTTTACCCACTATGCCACAGCACTGGGCCATTTTGTGGTTTTTATTAAAATGAAATTCACATACTATGGAAGTCACTCTTTGAAGTGTAAGCATCACTAGAGAACATTCTCATCACCCTCCCAAAAACCCCATGCCCACTGAGCAATCATTCCTATTCCCTTCTTCTAGCCCCTGGCAACTATAGGTCCACCTTCTATTTCTATTGATTTGCTAATTGTGGAAACTTTATATAAACAAAATTGTACAGTGTATGATCTTTTGTGGCTGGCTTTTTTCACTTCGGTTTTCCAGGCTCTTCCATGCTGCAGAACATATCAATCTTTCACTCCTTTTAATGGCTGAACAACTTTCTCTTGTATTCATTGACTACATTATCTACTTGTCAGATGATGACATTTGCATTGTTTCCACTTTTTGCCTATTATGAAAACGTTGCTATGAACAGTCATGAGCAAATCTCTGTGTGATGCATGTTTTCATCTCTCTTGTGCGGGAATGGGATTGCTAATTCACATGTTAACTCCATGTTTAACATTTTGAGAAACTGATAAACTTTTCCAAAGAGGCTTTACTATTTCACATTCCCACCAGCAATTTAGGAGGGCTCCAATTTCTCCATATCCTTGCCAACTCTTGTTATGGTCTTTTTTATTATATCCATTGTAGCAGATGCAAAGTGAATGATATACTGGTTTTGACTTAAATTATCCTGATTAATGATATTGAACTTCTTTTCTTGTGTTTATTGGACATTTGGGTATTTTCTTTGGAAAAATGTCTATACAGACCTTTAGACCATTTTTAACTGGGTTATTTGTCTTTTCATATTGAAGTGAGAAGAAGCCATTGGAACAGAGGAGTGATCTGATCTGATCTTCACAGGCTCATTCTGCTGTATTAAAACAACAGGAGGGAAAAGGCAAGTGTAAGGAGACCCACTGGGAGGCTAGTGCAATAATCTAGACACAACAGCCTGCTGAACCACAGTGATAACAGTGACGTAGTTTTGAAGCAGTGTTTTGGCCATGGGTATATATTTTAAAAACCTTTTTTTATTTAGTTAATATTCATTTGAGAGGCAGACCTAAAGAGAGACACAGGTGGACAGAGCAAGTTTCTATCTATTGGTTCACTCTTCAAATACCCACCATGGCCAGGGCTGAAAGGCTATGAGATGTGGGCATCTTAACCACTTGGCCAAACACCTGATTTGGTTATGGATACATTTTGAAGCTAGAAGCATCAGTATTTTTTTTTTTTTTTTTGGACAGGTAGAGTTATAGGCAATGAGAAAGACAGACAGACAGAAAGGTCTTTCTTCCGTTGGTTCACCCCCAAAATGGCCGCTACGGCATGCTGCACTGATCCGAAGCCAGGAGCCAGGTGCTTCTCCTGGTCTCCTATGCGGGTGCAGGGCCCAAGGACTTGGGCCATGCTCCACTGCCTTCCCGGGCCACACAGCAGAGAGCTGGACTGGAAAAGGAGCAACCGGGACAGAACCCAGCGCCCCAACCAGGACTGGTGCCAGTGCCGCAGGCGGAGGATTAGCCTAGTGAACTGTGGCGCCAGCCAATATTCTCTTTAATAGAAAAGAACAGGAGAGGCTTTTGTGAAACAAATAAAAAATGCATTCCTTTAATGTATAATACATATAATTTCCCATTGCATAAATTTCAAATTAAATTTGTGGGAGTCTATTAGCATAGCTACACACAACGCTAATTATCCCTCATAAGTATGTTTTATGTGACACTTTGCACCCATCTCTTATTGATGTGTCTTAGGTCAAAAATGTTCTACTTTTGAACTACTTGTGTATATCTGTCTCACAACCCTCAACTTCCCCTTACTGATAAGCTACAGGGAAAGACAAGATAAATGTAGGTACACATGCTTGGAGCCCCTGGCTAGATGGTCTCAAGGCAACATCAGTTTCCATAACAGGAAACACCAGACACAGGCAAAGTGAGGAGGTGAGGCTCAGGTTGCCATGCATCAACTTGGGAACCATTGGGAGATGCACCGCCATGACCATGTTTGCTATCTTGAGTAAACTGAGCCTCAGCTTAAAATCTGTGGACTCAAGGGCTGGCACTGCACACTATACGGGTCAGTTCTAGTCCTGGCTGCTCCTCTTCTGATCCAGCTCTCTGCTATAGCCTGGGAAAGCAATGGAGGATGGCCCAAGTGCTTGGGCCCCTGCACCCATGTGGGAGAAGCAGAATAAGCTCCTGGCTCCTGGCCTCAGATCAGCTTAGGTCCGGCTGTTGCAGCCATTTGGGGAGTAAATCAGAAGATGGAAGACCTCTCTCTCTGTCTCTCTATCTCTCTGTAGCTTTACCTTTCAAATAAATAAATCTTAAAAAAAAAAAAAAACACTAAATTGAGAGTGGCAAAAATATTTTATAAAAACAAAAACAACCTGCAGCAAGTTGATTTTAGCAAAAGTATTGTCAAGGAACCACAAATGGGGGATTGCAGCAAAGACGGCTGGAAGGGCAAGAAGTCCACAGATTGGAGGCGAAGCCTGTAACAGTCAAGTATGCACAGAACATGGTGACAGACTTCATTTCTCAACTGAAAGGAAGTGTTAAGGCAGATGCCCTGTGTGCATTTATGCTTCACATTACAAGTGAAATGATTAGGCTGCTAAAATTGAACCGAAGGTTTCATTATTTATTTTGAGAAGAAAATAAAACTCATAAGTTTAATATCTGGAACTGTAGGAAATGATCCCATTTAGACACATCATTATCCAATTTAGAAAAAGATAAAACCAACAGTGAAGATCTAACGTGCAGTCTCCAAGAGTGTTCTCCACACGAGCAATCTTAGGATCAAGACCACTTTGCCTCTATATCCAGGAGAGAAAATGAATAATTATTTCTAAATGATCACCTATTAATCTCATTTGGGAACTCTATCTTTTTGGAAGTTTTAGAGTTATGCTGGTTTTATCTATTAAAACTTAACTACACTTAGTTGGGGAAAACAAATAGCAAGCTAGTTCAATTTCTTTATAATCCAGTTACCTAAATTCACTTGTAAAACATCAGATGGCATCGTCCCCAAATTTTTCATACGTAAGTAGGGCACAATTTCCTTAGGTGAGATTTTACATTAGTGCATTTTTTCCTAGAGTGATCCAGAAACACTCCAGATTATGTATAGTGCTTTTTGAAAGTGTTTCATTTCTCACTGTTTTCCAATAAAGCACATTCTTGGACGAACCAGCTTGCTCCAGCCTCCCCCCCACAATCTTTCATGTCCACTTTGGAAAGGGTTGGCCACAGCAAGGGTGCAATGAGGGCCCAGATGGCCTCCAGGCAGCAGAACATTCCTCACCTGCTTCTCTTCAACTACTTACTGGCACAGGCTCAAAAACAGTCAAATCCACAATTAGATCATCCAGACTAAAGCACTAGAAAAATAAAGCTTCTGCTCTTCTTTCCAAATACAATGTATGCCAAAGTAAATGTATAAACTGTTTCATTTAATAATGTACATGGGGCAGGAGTCTGATGCAGTGGACAAGTTGCCCTTTGGGTGGTTTGAGTCCTGGCTAGCTTCTGATCCAGCTTCCTGCTGATGTGTCCTTGAGGAAAGAGTGGATGGGAATTCTCTCTCTCTGATTTTCAAATAACATTTTTAAAAACACTGATTTGAAAGGTAGAAGGACAGATAGAGGAGGAGACAAAGATTTTCTATCCACTGGTTCTCTGCCCAAATGGCCACAACTGCCAGGTCTGGGCCAGGCTGAAGCCAGGGGTCACGAACTCCAACCTGGTATCCCTCATGAGTGGCAGGTCTTTCCAGGTGTGTTAGCAGAAATGGTGGAACAGAAGCAGAGTAGCAGGACTTGAACCGATGCTCCGATATAGGATGCCAACATTGCTAGTGGCAGCTTAACCCATTGCATTACAATGCTGACTCCTTGAAAAATAATTATATAAAAGCTTTTATTGAAGTATAAATGACACGTTTTATATAAACATAATGATCCTCATCACACATATAAAATGTGTTTTAAGGCAATCTCAGAGATCTTTCACCTCACATTTGGGCTTAACTCTCATCACTGCTCCACCCCAGCAGCACAGCTCTTTGAAAGTAGATTACAGCTCATGAGCTGTAAATAAAGTATTCATGAAGCAGAATGGAAAAGAATTAAAATGCATAACATATTCATCTACAAAAATAATGTGCTCCAGTTGTGAACTAATTACAATGCTTGGAAAATGCTAGCATGCTTATGCATAGTTAGGATCTATTAGGGTACAAAATTTAACTTTTGCAGGGCAGATATTTGGGGCACCAGTTAAGACACTGCTGGTGATGCCCACATCCCATATTGTAGGGCCTGGGTTCAAGTCTTGGCTCTGCTCCTAATTCAAGTTTCATGCTAATGTGCACCCTGGGAGGCAGTGGGTGATGGCTCAAGTGCTCTGGACCTTGCTACACAGGTGGGAGACCAGGCTTCTGTGTGAAGCTCCTGGCTTTGGCCTGACCCAGCCCCAGCTGTAGCAGTCAGGTGGGGGAGTGAACCAGCAGATGGAAGTTCCCTCTGCGTCTATCTCTGTTTCTCTCTGCCTTTTTTTTTTTTTTTTTTTTTTTTTTTTTTTTTTTTTTGACAGGCAGAGTGGACAGTGAGAGAGAGACACAGAGAGAAAGGTCTTCCTTTGCCATTGGTTCACCCTCCAATGGCCGCCTTGGCCGGTGCGCTGCGGCCAGTGCACCGCGCTGATCCGATGGCAGGAGCCAGGAGCCAGGTGCTTTTCCTGGTCTCCCATGGGGTGCAGGGCCCAAGCACCTGGGCCATCCTCCACTGCACTCCCTGGCCACAGCAGAGAGCTGGCCTGGAAGAGGGGCTACCGGGACAGAATCCCGCGCCCCAACCGGGACTAGAACCCGGTGTGCCGGCGCCGCTAGGCGGAGGATTAGCCTAGTGAGCCGCGGCGCCGGCCCTCTCTCTGCTTTTCAAATTACAAGAAAAGAAACCTGATTTTTGAAAAAGCACAGTTTTGTGATTCCACCTGAACACTGCCCCGAGCACACAGCGAACGTCACTAACATCACGAAGCCTGTCAGCCTCTTGAAGTCTTCAGGACACCTTCAAGGCAGGGACTCCTGAGGCCTCTACGAAGGAGAAACAACTGTGACAAGCAAGGCAGGCTGAGGGCTCCCCTGAGGAGGGGATGGGATAGGATGGCTCTGCCCTCTGGGACATGCTTCCAGCTTACTTGGAAACACTGCCTTTCTCTGTGCATGAGAGTCAGTGGGCTATGAGGCACCCTCTGTTAGAGATACGCAGCCACAGCATGTGGTGGCCATCTCAGGCACTGGCGAGAGCTTCGTTAACTCTTTCTGGGAAGACCTTTGATCAGACTGCTTTCTTTCGGATACCACACTGTTATCAGCTGCACTTAGAAAACTGGTCACAAGGGGCCAGCATTGTGGCGTAGCAGGTAAGGCCACCACCTGCAATGCAGGTATCCCATATGGGTGCTGGTTCCAGTCTTGGCTGCTCCCCTTCTAACCCAGCTCCCTGATAATACACCTGGGAAAGCAGCAGAAGATGGTCCAAGTCCTTGGATCCCTGCAACCCCAATGGGAGACACAGATGAAGCTGTTCGCTTTGGCCTGGCCCAGCCCAGGCCATTGCAGCCATCTGGGAAATGAAACAGCAGATGGAAGATCTGTCTCTCCCTCTCTTTCTATGACTCTTTCAAATAAATAAATAAATCTTAAAGAAAGAAATAAAACTGGTTTGAGGGTGTAGAAGGGGCTGATTTTGGAACATGAAGAACCTGAGGAGCAGGGGCAGCCTAAAAGGAAGGCCCCCAGCTGGTACAGGTGGAGAGTGAAACTCACAGCAGCACGCCTGGACCACAAGGGCAGCAGGGGATGGAAGAGGGGTGCAGAAGTAAGGTGAGAAGCACATTGCTCTTAGGAAAGAGGTGGACTCTCCACTGTCTTCACAAACTGTTCACACCAGCCTGTTGTTGAGACCCCAGATGCAGGCAGCTACCTCCTCTATCCCAAGTCAGATGCATGGCTCCCAAGGGTTGGCCCAGGAGCACCACTGCCACTTACTGGCATGAGTTCTGCAGAAAACACATTTCCATTCTGCTTGTGAGTAGTCATCACAGGGACAACTGTGACGTCTCGGGGACTCCCCTCCTAAGATGACTTACTGGTGTGCAATGTTTGAAGTGCACTCGCAGTTTTAAAATATAATCAACATGCTTTGAATCTTCAAATATTTTCTACATTTTAGAGGAAAAAGGGAGCCTTTAATAAAGGAGAAAAAAAAGCCCAGCATTTGTATCCCGACACCAGGACAAAACTTTTGTATTGTACATCCATTTAGAGCAGGATTTCCTGTTGATATTTATTATTTAAATGATACTTAGGTACTGTGGAACAAATGTCTCTCTTTACAGACACATGGCACTTCTAAGAACTTATTACTTCAAATATTCCAAATATGAGTGCATCATTCTAGAAACACAATCAAGAGGTAATGCTTTAAACCCCAAATGTAGTGTGAACACATCTCCATTGCCATTGTAGGGAAAGAAAAGCTATGACCGCTAACTGGACATCCAATCCAAAGTTACTGCTCCTGTTCCATGGTAGGAGGGATTACTGCTAAAACTGCCCATTTCAAAAGCACCAAAACAATGCCACTTCTTTACCTTGTAAGCAAGACCACATCAGAATAAAGACTTTCACAATGAATCTTTTCTTCTGTGTTAAAAGTGAAATATATTACAATATAATAGGTACATGTGCCATTATTAAAAATGCTGGTTAACAGTGTAAAGTATCTAAATGATGTTTCAATGTCAATGTTGGAAACAACAGCTTAACAACTCTGTATATACGTAGAACATTGAAAACAAGGTCACAGGCAACAACAATATAGTAAAAAAAAAAAGGAAAAAAATGACATTGCACTTTGTCCTTTTAGGTTTCACTTTCATCTTCTGGTCCCAGCACCGTGTCAGCATCTGAAGGGCGTGCTAATTACTCCAATCTTGCACTTTGAAGTCTGAAGGTTTGTATTTATGTCAGCTATTGTACATCAACAACCTTTAAATACCACTGGTAATATTCTGATCAGTTGCTTCTGTTTCCTGTAGTCCCCTTTCTCAATAAGTCTTGGACAAAAAGATAAGTTTAAAAAAGACACCTGGGATTGTGGGATCCAACAAGACATGTATGCCCAATGATTGATCCAAAGGCAGCATAAAGTTCTATGTTTACACAGGACATGAAGGACAAGGAGTACAGTTTCTACTGTGCTTGCTGATTGGAAGAAGCCACAGTCACCAGGAACCACTGAGGACTGCAGGCAGGGTGGCATGAGAATGAAACCAGAGAGAAATGCCGGCATATAAAGGGAAATGAACAAGCATGACCTGTCTGTTCTCTCTCCTCCCTGCCGAGGAGAGGATTCCAGCCCAGCCTCCTTCCCCGCATCCCGGTGAGGCTCGTGGGCTCTCTTGTGCTCCCGGCACTGTGAAAACAGCCACTTCCCTTTGAGATGAGGGGACGGCAGATTTGGTCCCCACCGAGAAGACTTTCCACAAAGGTGAGGAACAGTCCACCTATGATAGGGTTGAACTTCTCACAAGCACCAAAGACAGTCTGAGCGTGGTCACAACAGGAGCGCAGGTGAAACACCTTTCACAGACGAGCAGGTCACACCCAGAGAGGTGAAGTGGCTCAGCCAAGGGGTAGACAAGAAAGCGGAGTGTTGTGTTTATTCCTCGGCGACAATGCCTCTCGAACTCTACCATGGGTCTGATCCATTCTGGATTTCATCAAAATGCGCTGGGTCCAGGGTGGGGCTTCGGATTCTGCATTTTAAATACGCTTCTGAGAGCTGTGGATGTCCTTGGTCTGTGGACCACACTTGGGAAGCAAGGGTCTACAACACATAAAGAGCACCACCTCTGTCTTTCTGGGCCATAAGAGAGCTGCTCCGGTGTTACCAGCCCAGGTACAGACCTGGGACAGGACAAATTTCTAAGTGGACAGATGTCAGTAAGACAGTGTTAATGATTCCTGAGAGCATCAGGACTGTGTGAACAAATGACATAATTTTACTTCAGTAAATGGAGAAGTCTATTTTCCGGAAATAAAACTAATCCTTAGGAAGTCTTCCTTAAAATGAACATGATAGAAAGGTATAAAAAATTCAGCATATTAAATTCCATAGTAAAATGCCACATGTGCACACACACACATATATATACAGTAAAAATTCTAAGAAACTCAATGCTTCTATCAGAATAAAGTGCTACCACTGCTCCCAGCTAAAATCATCTCCTCTTCCAAATACAAGAAAGAAACCTTGAATTGTAAGGAAAATGACAGCATTGCCGGCCAGCACAAGGCCACAGGCTCCCCATTTGATCTGAAACACAAGAAAAGAGAGATTAAATCTACACTGTCTTCATATTTTACTCTTTTCAAATCTCTGATACAATTTTCTACATTAGAAACCTCCAATGAAATATTATACAAAGCCAGTAAAAGGCTTCCTAATATAAGACAGGAGACAGTGAGCTATTTACTAATTAGCCAAAGTACTTCCCCGATGCTTGTTAATTACATTCAGTATAATCCTTAACATTTCCCTTATTAGACCTATTTCTCTACTTATTTTTAGTTGACAACAATTGCCTCTAACAAAATATATGTAGAAAGATTATGAATGGTCCAACAACAATATCCAATATCAGGTACTGAACGCTCTGCACACATTAACTGGAGAGTTATGGATTACTATGTTTCTTTTCTAGGCAAGAAAATATTTTAAATAATAATTTGCAAATAAACGGAAGCAGCTTTCTAGCCTTGCAGCAGGCTTTACAGAAGCACAACTGGGGGGCGAGAGTACCCTCTAGTGGGCATTTCTGTTTTAATTTAGTCAGAAGAAACATCAATGAAAGTTTCTTCCTAAAATACAATGGTGTTATTGAAAGGGGAAAATGTATTTACAGCAATACTAAGAAAGGCTAGTCTAGGCCGGCGCCGCGGCTCAATAGGCTAATCTTCCGCCTAGCGGCGCCAGCACACCAGGTCCTAGTCCCAGTCGGGGTGCCGGATTCTGTCCCGGTTGCCCTTCTTCCAGGCCAGCTCTCTGCTGTGGCCCAGAGTGCAGTGGAGGATGGCCCAAGTATTTGGGCCCTGCACCCCATGGGAGACCAGGAGAAGCACCTGGCTCCTGCCATCGGATCAGCGTGGTGCGCCAGCCGCAGCACACTGGCTGCGGCGGCCATTGGAGGGTGAACCAACAGCAAAAGGAAGACCTTTCTCTCTGTCTCTCTCTCTCACTGTCCACTCTGCCTGTCAAAAAAAAAAAAAAAAAAAAAAAGAAAAAAAAAAAAGAAAGGCTAGTCTAAGCCACAAGAAAAACATGTTCATGATAGTCTTCTATCTAAAATCCTTCTGTGCTTCTGCATTTCCAAAGGTTCAGACTGGCATGGCATTCAACCATGCTAATCGGGCTTCCTCAACCTTTTGAGCTGTAATCATCGGGGCTGGGGAACGTTTTACCTGCTGAGGGCTCTTTGGATCATTCACAGGCCACACAAAATTATCAACTTAAAAATTGACCCGCTGTAGATTTATTGAATTTCAAGTCAAGCCTGAGGTTGCCTTGGCAGGACCAGACCAAATGATTCCACAGATTTTAGTTGCCCAGCAGGTGCTCCTGCTGTGTCATAATAATGTCTCAATTATCACACATTGTACAGTTATAGGATATTTACCCATCAGGCTAGTTTCTGTGTTTTGTAGGAGCAGAGACTATATCTGGCTCTTTTTCCTGGTATTTTATAAATTGCAAATGTTCCAAAGATATTTATTGAATGAGTAAACAAAACTGGTACATAGTTGATATTCAGTGTCCCAAGTAAGAATTTTGTGAAACTAAAACAGAATGCAGTTGGACAAAATAAAAGCAAATAGTAGGAAGACAGTGAACATCAAAGAACTGAATAACCCACAACATGTGTTTTTGAGACAAAAGGAGTATTTTTATACTAGATGTAAAGATGTCATCTTATTCACTGTATCTTCTAGAAGCAAGCTATTTGTCCCTCAAAATACATGCCTCCTGTATTGAGAACTGAGTCCAAGATCCCATCTGAAGAAGAGTTTGATATGATCTCTACTTCACAAATAGAAAAGTATTGTCATATAGACTTCATGGATTGCCCTAAGATTTAAGAAGTAAGGATTTAAGAATTAGGCAGAAAAAGCTAGAAAGCATTTGATTTGGTTAAAAGTTGTAAGAGAAACGAAGCAAGCATTCTGAAAATATGGCCAAGGCACTGATAGGTAGATCTAAAGTGGAGGAAGAGAAAAGTTAGAAATGCAGCTGGCCTTGAGTATAAAAACTAAACAATGAAAAAGAAATTGAGGTCCTACACAACAAGCCTTTGAAACAAACTCAGCAACAGTTGAGCAAAACAATAGAAAAAACTTACCACAGCCACACGAGCAAGAATAACAGGAAATCCAAAGGCAGAAACAACAATTCCAGTAGTGAAGAAATATGCCAGCTCTCGACAGGCACTACTGGTTGCATCAGAGTCATAGGTGACCCTTTTGGCAATAAAATGGGGGATGGGGGAGATGGCGTGGAAAATCAGGACGAACAAGGGCCAGTAAACGCTGTCAGATGGACCCAGAAGAAATCCCAAAAGAAAAGCCACAGTTACATTTTAAATGAAAGACATATAACATTTCCAAGTCATTGTTACTGTCAACTTCTAGGTCAATAAGTTACTCAATCAACTGTACAATCAGAATATAACATGATTTCTACCAAGAACAGAGAGGTAGTGATAATTTTAAAAGTACTAATTCATTAATATGAAGGTAACATATGTTGTGTCAACTATCAATGTATAATCTAGAAACAATAGCATTTTCTGTAGCGCTGAGCTATAATTTCTTTAAGGACAGCATCTTAACTAAGTCATCTTTGCTCTCCTGATAGAACATAGCACAATGGGGCTTACGCACATGCTAATTCAGTAAAGGTGTTCTTGAGTGCAGGCATGCTTAAAGCCTCTCAGTGGCTTAGGATAAAACCCAAGCTTCTTGCTTGGCCTACAATGCCTTCCGTGATCTAGTACTGTCCACTTCTTGTATCCATTTTGTACACTCTCCCTTCACTTGCTTAATCTATAGTCACACCAGCCGCCTTCTGGTTCCTTGAACACTCTGAGCTCAAACCCACCTTGGGGCCTTTGCACTAGCTATGCCATTTGCTTGGAATGCTCTTCCCCAATCTTCTCATTGGCTGGCTCTTTTACACCTTGCAGTGTACACTGTGACACCCCCACCCAGTGGCTTTTCTTAACCATCCATTCTAAAGTACCCCGAGTCACCTTGAGCTTATGACCCTTTTAACTTTCTGCCTGCAGTCATTCTGACCTCTCATTTTTTCTTGCTTATGAGAAAAACAATCTGATTTCTCTTAGTCACCAATTATCTCTGGGGCCTAGAATGAGGTGTTCCATTTATGCTTATTCACTGAGCAAAATAATAAATGGATTTCAAGAGTGGAAACCATGAAAATAAATATACTCACTGGTAAAAGCTTTAGATGGGCACTAACCTTTATTACAAGAGATCACAATAATACTGCAATGCAAAAACAAATGGTTTTCTTCCTAAATTCCAATGTTTTGCACTTCTAAAACATCACCATCTGGCTTCCAATTATGTTTTCTCTATAAATACTTCAGAAATAAACTAGTATCTTTTCCTCCATCAAGACATACTCTTGGGGCCTGTGCTCTGGTGTAGTAGGTTGGACCTCCACCTGCTGTAGCAGCATCCCATATGGTCACTGATTCATGTCCCAGCTGCTCCTCTTCTGATCCAGTTCTCCACTGATGGCCTGAGTGGAAGATGCCCCAAGTGCTTGGGTCCCTCCACCCATGTAGGAGTCCAGGAAGAAGCTCCTGGCTCCTGGATTTGGACTGGCACAGCTCCAGCTGTTGCAGCCATTTAGGGAGTGAACCAGAAACTGGAAAACATTTCTCTCTGTCTCTCCCTCTCTCTGTCTCTAACCCTGCCTCTCAAGTAAATAAATAAAATATTTCAAAAAAATAGAAAAATAGTCTATTTATTTTAAATATACGCACCACAATAACACATATCACAACAGTACAATGTTCTTGTGGTCAGCACCTACAAGCAGGAGTAGTCTGGAATGAAGCCACACCAGTGAAAGTTTGCTATTTTAGCCACAGACCCAAGAGGGCAAGATGGTACCCAGAAATCCAGGGGGAAAACTACCCTCCACCACCAGGACTCAGGAATGAAATACCGAGTTTGGACTCCCTAATTCTAAACTAGAATGATCATTACATATTTCAACAATCACCAAACAATACTGTCAAAAAGCGCTTTTAGATTCTCTAGTTCAAAGCCTGCTTTTTACCAGTGAGGATATCAGATACAAAGAGGGGAAGAAGCCAAGAATAGATCCACTGTCACCTGACCTGCCCACAGCCAAGGGCCCGCAATTCTTCCTGGAACACAATGACCGTTTTCTGAAAAACAATCTAAGAGAGTCTGTGTTCCCATTCACAATAAGCCACCAAAATAATAATAATAATAATAATAATAAAATCATTCATATGCAAAACTTAAGACTTAAATAGATAGTATTCAACAAACTTGTAGGCCAGGGATTGGCAAATTTTTTTTCAACAAAGAACCAAACAGTAAATATTTAGGTTTTGCAAGCCATAATGTCTCTGTCCGAAAGACTCTGCCACTACAGTACAAAAGCAGGTGAAGAGAATACATAAACACAAATAATGTGTGTTGGAACATGCATGGCTGTGTTCCAACAGAACTTTAATTATAAAATCAGGTAGCAGGTCACATTTGGCCTGTGGGCCAGCTTGCTGACTTCTGATATGGGGATGATCTTGAGCTACCATCATTAAAATATAAAATCAGCTTCTTTGTAGGAGCAGTAATAGCTCATTTTCTTACACTCTAGAAAAATGATATATCACAGGGAATTAAAACACCTGGACCTGGAGTTTGCTTTGGAATAATGGAAAACCTTTGGTCGAGACACTAAGGACAAAAGTTCCATTTCTATCTCTGCCATTTATTGCTGTGCTATTTGGTAAGTCTTTAACTTTCCCTGGGCTTTAATTTCGAAGCTAGGAATGAGGATAATAATAACTTACATCCCTCAAGCTAGAAAAGAAAGTGATAGCTACAGACAAAATTAAGTTATTGCTTAGATTTGGATCCCTTTTGTGCTGAAATAATTTCCATGATAGTTTTGCGCTCATCATGTCATAACAGTTGGCTCCAGCTGGTCGCACCAGACACGCCATCTTCATCTATCCAGCTGCTCACACCAACCACCTAGCAGACACCCAACAGCTCTCTCCCCTTGTTGAGCCCTGACATCCATTACCAAAACCTGCCAGTTCTGTCCCTGTGTGGCTCTCCCTCTTTTCTTTCCAATCCCATTACCAGGACCTTTCCACTTTGCTTGATCTACGGTACTGGTCCCTACTGCAGCCTCAACACTCTCCTATTTAGTTTCACATTTTGGCCAGAATGACTTTTTAACATAACCCCCTTCCCATCAAGGCCATTCCTAAACTATTTTTCCAGTTCCTCAAATATAAGGTCCAACCTCCTTTTCACAGCCTAGGGATCTCTAACGGGCTGGTTCTACATTCATGACAAACTCTTCTATTCTCAACTATAATTTATGTTCAACCATAATGAACTACATGTAGTTCCCTGAACAGTCTCTGCGTTTTTGCTACAGTTCGACGTTATTTGTCTCCAAACTCAAACAGGATTATAAACTCCAACGTCGTAAGTTAATGGTCCTAAGTGGGCAGAAATTTGATCTAATTATGGTGTCTGGGAGGTGGGCCCTTGGGAGATTCGTAGGTCACTGGGGAGGGTGGCCCAAGGAGATAATTCCGGCTAGAAGGCTGGTTAGAAAGGCCTGAGTCCAGCCCAGCCGTTGTCTCTCTGCTGCACAGATCCCCATGTGATGTCTTCTCCACATGCCCTCCACCAATGCCACCGTCAATCTTGGATTGCAACATCCAAAACTGTGAGCTAAATAAGCCGTTTCTCTTTGTGAAGTTAGCTGCCTCAGATGTTCTTGTTATAGAGACAAAAAGGCAACTAAAACTCATAACCTGGCCTTAGCAAACAGCTGTCTCACAACCTAAAGCTCTCTTCCCCCAGAGAGCCATATGGTCTGTGTCCTTACTTTCTTAATACTTCTGCTCACATGTCAGCCCCTCAGAGAGGCCTTCCCTGCCCACCTTACCCCTCGGATCCTCACCCTGATTCCTCATCACGCCTCCACCCCAACACAACGCAAATCATTTTGTGTGCTTTGTCTCCCCCGCTGAAATTCAGATTCTGAAAGAGCGGTGTCTTTGCTTTCTTATTTCTGAATCCCAGGCCCTTAACAGTGGCCGGCACTGGGAAGCATTCAACCAATAGTTGTTGAATAAAAAAAAAAAAGATCGGCTATTCCCTCTGCCTGGAATGCCTCTGTCTGACTCATCAGCCTGAGAAATTCTTGTTTATCTACCAAGTCTTGGCTGTAATATGACCTCTGTTCTGCAGCCCTCTCTGACGGGTTCCCTCCCAAGGAAACTCACATGCATTTTCTCTCAGTTCCCTCTGTACTCTGCACACATCTGCATGACAACTGTCATGCTATGGAGTGTGCAGTTGGCCTGTCTCTCACTCACAACTAGAACTGTAGGCTCCTTGAGGACATCATAGCCCAGCTGGTCCAGAGCGGATGCTTAACAAATGTTATTAAATGGATTTATCACTTGGGAAGAGGGCTCTTCCCTGTACAAATACACCTGACCCATGAAGGAACTGGATTCACAATCTGAGTTTCGCTAACTCACTGGTTACAGCATGGTGCTAAATTAATCAAACTCTCTAACACCCTTGCTAACAGTGACCAAGACACACACACATCAAAAAAAAAAAGAATGGTTCTTTTGGAAACAAAAACTTACCCGTAATCCTCTAAGGCACATCCCAGCATAAGAAAGGTCAGCCCAATAGCCCCACTGAAGGATAAAGCCACAAGAGCTGTGAAAAATAAAACCAAGAGTTAAAGGAGCCAGGTCGCTGGCTGCTAAGAGCTGGAAAGATGGCAGCTGGGGCCACTAATACAGGGTATGGTTTCTTTTGGGGGTAATCAAATATTCTGAAATTAGTATTGATGGTTGCCCAACCTTATGGATATTCTAAAGGCCATGGAATTTTATATTTTAAAAGAATCAATGTTATGGTATGTGTACCATATCTCAATAGAAAGTAAATTTAAGTAAATGTAGCAATGTATATATTCAGTAACTGATGCTAAATTTGACTAGAAAATACTGCAGTAATGGACCACAGCCCTCACCAGACCCTGGACTTCCCAACCTCTAGAACTATGAGAAATAAATGCTGGTGCTTAAACCACACAGCTTACGGCATATTTGTTAAAGCAGCTCAAACTAGTTAAGGTACCTGCCTATGCCTGCCACTTTAAAATCACAACATGGAGAAAGGTCTCAAGCAGTTCCAGTACCCAAACGCTAGCCAACGCATGAAATCCCTCTGTATTTATCATAAAGGCCCCAGCTGGCCTACACAACTCCAGTGAAAAACTCACTACCAGCTGAGCAGGTCATTTTGCCTCGAGTCTCTAAATGTTGAAAGGCCTCCTTTCCTATGTTGTACATCCCAAACTGCCTCCCTGTAAAACACACCTTTGATTATTCGCCTCTGCAAACCAAAGTATTCAAGTATCTAAAGACTGCTTTCATATGTTCATAGAAAACAATTCCCAGCTCACAGATACTAGTTAGACCTACTAGTAGATTTCAATTCTACCACCAACTGGTTATGTGCCCTGGGGTACAAGCCAAGCCTCTTAAAACTTGATTTCTCATCTGTAATATGGGAATGGTGCCATCTGACTGAGTGTGAGAATTAAGTGAGACAATCCATGTAAAGTTCTTGGCCAAAAGAGGTGTTCAACAAATAAATATGGAGAGATGCACATATCTACTCTTTTTAGCAGTGTTGTTTGATAAAGGCATAAATAAAAAACACAGACACTGTGTTATTCAAATTTTCTTCTGAAAAAAATTCATAATACTCACAATTAGTTATTGATTAAACTAAAGAATATTTTCCACTTCTTCCTTTTACTTTAAGAGGAGATTTAGGAATAGTTTTTTTTTTCTTTTAAAGATTTAATTTATTTATTTCAAAGGCAGAGTTACAGAGAGAAAGAGAGAAGGAGAAGGCCGGCGCCGCAGCTCACTAGGCTAATCCTCTGCCTGCAGCACCGGCAAACCAGGTTCTAGTCCCGGTCGGGGCACTGATTCTGTCCCGGTTGCTCCTCTTCCAGTCCAGCTCTCTGCTGTGGCCCACGAAGGCAGTGGAGGATGGCCCAAGTGCTTGGGCCCTGCACCTGCATGGGAGACCAGGAGGAAGCACGTGGCTCCTGGCTTCACATCAGCACAGCGTGCTGGCCATAGCAGCCATTTGAGGGGGTGAACCAACGGAAGGAAGACCTTTCTGTTTCTCTTTCTCTCTCACTAATTCTACCTGTCAAAAAAAAAAAAAAAAAAAAAGAGAGAGAGAGAGAGAAGGAGAGACACAGAGAGAGTTCTTCCAGCTGCTAGTTCACCCCCCAAATGGTCACAACAGCCAGTACTAAGTCAGATCAAAGCCAGGCGCCAGGAACTTCTGGGTTTCCCACATGGGTGCAGGGGCCTAAGTACTTGGGCCATCACCCACTGCTTTTCCAGGCATATTAGCAGGGAGCTGGAACGGAAATGGAGCTGCCAAGACTTGAACTGGCACCCATATGGGATGCCAGCACCACAGGCGGTGGCTTTCCTGGCTGCATCACAGCTCTGGCAGGAACACTATTTTAAAGGAAGTTGCTACAATGCTTTTTAAAAGCCATCTGGGATTATACAGATGTTAGGGGACAAGGAAGGACTGTTAAATTTATATCATTTTCGGGGCCAGCACCATGGCACACTAGGTTAATCCTCCGCCTGCGGTGCCGGCATCCCACATGGGTTCCGGTTCTAGTCCCGGTTGCTCCTCTTCCAGTCCAGCTCTCTGTTGTGGCCTGGGAAGGCAGTGGAGGATGGCCCAAGTGCTTGGACCCCTGTACCCGCCTGGGAGACGAGGAAGAGGTATGCGGCTCCTGGCTTTGGATCGGCACAGCGCCAGCCATAGCGGCCATTTGGGGAGTGAATCAACAGAAGGAAGACCTTTCTTTCTGTCTCTCTCACTGTCTGTAATTCTACCTGTCAAATAAATAAATTAAAATCTTTAAAAAAATTTATATCATTTTCAATTCCGTATATGGCACATTTTAATGGAAACATGTCCACACATCAAGAGAAGGTAACTTTCCATGCACTGCGTCATTGCAGATGCCCTTTTCCTAGTCGGCTTTCACCCTTCCACTGCGCCTGACCATCTGCGAGTCTGCCCTCCACGAGATCTGCCAAAGCTAGGAACTGCAGACCTCTGCTTTCTGTCCAGACACCAATCTCCCAAGGTTCACAATCTCATCTCTGCTTACTTCTTTTTGGTCTTTTTTTTTCCTTTTCAGGAGTTGCATCCTATGTCATTTTTCAAAGTTGAGGTTGATCAGGAATCTAATCCATCTCACTTTTCACTCCACACTCTCCTACCAAGTTCCCAGTACCACTAGGGTGCAGCTGCAGCTGAAGCTCCAGCCCAGAATAGGTCTTAAAAAGTAGGCCTGGACTCCCACCTCCAATGTGAACTTCTTTGCCTCAGCAGGCAATGAGGGCCTCCAATCCAACATGTGTGAAACCCAACTACCATTCCCTGAACTCCTCCCAAACACACCCTCCTTCATCTCCTGGCGGGGAGGGGTTGCCTATCTTAAGATAACCAACACCATCACTTCAGATGCAGCTTCCAGCAAATCAGCAAGTCAAAGTGACTCCGTCTCCAAGACCTCATTCAAACCCAGACTTGGGTCTTGAACTCTGCTTCTACCCTAGCATAGGCCCTTATGATCTCATGTCGCCTCCAGTGGCGACCCTTCCAATACACCCTCCTCATACCAGACAGTGCCACTGTTTGCAGTCACGTTCATGGCCTACAAATTTGTTCTGGCACCCAAGGCTCACCATGATCTGACCCCTAACTGCCTTTCCAGTTTCAACTCTCCCTTCTCTCCTCCTAAGTTCCTTATGATCCCCTAGTGCATGTCCCCTGCCCCATGTCACATAATGTCCTCTCCAGTTGCAATCTACTCTGCCTTCACCCCATCCCTTACAAGGTGAAGCCCTACTGACCCCTTCTGATTTGGTTCAAGCACTGTACCTTTAGTGAAATCATGCTTTTCCTCCCTGGAGAGAGTAGATAACCCGGTCTCGTATTAGAGTCCTGGTGCTGCCACTACAGGTACCACAAACTGAGTGGCTTAAAACAATAGAAATGTATTCTCTCAGTTCCAGAGGCCAGAGGTCTGAAAGCAAGGTGCTGGCAGGGCCATGCTCCCTCCGCAGGCTGCAGGGAACAATCCCGGCTTGCTGCCTCCTAACACCAGGTGGGTGCTGGCAATTTGGGTGCTCCTTGGCCAGGAGTTGCATCACCCCAATTTCTGTCTCTATCTTCACATTATTACATTCAAATTTTCCTCTCTTATAAGGACACCAGCCATTGGATTAGGGTACACACTCAGCCAGTATCATCTTAAATCAACTGCATCTGCAAAGGCCTGGTTGCAAACAAGGTCACATTCACAAGCATTATGGAGTTGGAACTCATCTTTTTGGGGGACACAAATTGACTCACCACACCATCCCTGAGCTTTCACTATATCTGAGCACATCTTCTACCCTGACAGTAATGTATTGATTTCCAGCTCTGTCACCTAGGAATAACTGCTCATTTATCTTTTTATCCCAAGTTTCCAACCTACAACAGTTCCTCAATAAAAGCTCTCCCTCACAAATTAAGCACGAAAAACAGCTCTCCCTCGGTCCCTTTCCTTCTCATACCTACCTTCCTTCTCACTACACCACAATTTCTAAGAAACATTATTATTTGGTAGTGTCTAGTCCTGACAGCACTGTGCAGTATTGAGATACGACTTGTCAATTTATTCTCTGCCTTGGCTGCAAATGTATGTATTACACACTGGACACTGTCCAAGTAAACTCCATGTTTACTACGCTGATAGGACAAAAGTCAGCCAGCAATAATGATAAGACGTGCCTGCTGCTAACGGTTCACACAGCCAGATAAATGCATAGCAAACAGGCATACAGTTAGAGCACACCGTAACGTGTTTATGGCAGATGTCGCATAAAAACTAGGGAGGAGAGATCTTTGTGCATCAACTTCAAGGAAGACAGGAACCCCAACAGAGAAACAAGCAACGCTACTCTTCCCGAAAGATTAAGAAACGGAGTTTTCCTACTCAAGGGGAAGATTTCCAGTAACTTCTCCAGTGTTTCCGCTCCCAGTCCTCTTGGTGTTCTTGGTACCCGTTTTGCAACAACTGCCCCATTCGAAAACACACACCACGCCAACACTACCCTAAGCTAACAGAGCGAACGCGAAAAGAAACGGAGCGCGGCCGGGTGCCTCCCACAGACGCCTGCCCCCAGCCAATTCTGCCCCGTTGGAAAAAGCCTTAGGAAAAACAGGCTTAACTTTCCCGGTGTCGATGACCACTGGAAACAAAGCCTCCTTTGTAAGAAAGGGAAAACTGGAGGAGCAGGAAACGGGAGGAGAGGCTCCAGGGCGGACCTGCGCGGGGTGGGAACCCTGTTTCACAGCCCGGCCCGAGCGCAGGGGACGCCCGCGGAACTGAGGCGGCGTCTGACGGGGGGCGATGCTCCGGGGCCAGCTCGGGTCGCAGCTCCCAGGGCACGCCTCCGCGCGGGGGCTCCGGGAGACGCCAGGCCACAGCTTGCCGCCAGTGACCCTGCAAAGAACGGCCGAGGGTCCCCCGAAACGCCCCTCCACCCGCACCTCAAGGGGCAAAGGAGCGAGCGCCTGCATGCCTCCCCTCCCGGAGAGGCGGGAAAGGTGTCGGGTCTACGGAAAGCCGTTCCCCGCTAGCGTGCTGGAGGCACAGCACCACGCTTAGCCCGGAACGGAGGTAGCGGACCCCACCGCAAGACGAGCGGACTGGGGGGCCGCGGATGTACCTTTAACGCCCGCCATGTCTCCCGAGCTGGGGCCGCGGCTGCTTCCGGCTTCCTGCCACGGCCCCAGCCCCGGACACCGCCCAGGCCAGGCCCAGTGCCTCCCAAGGATTCCGAGTCCGTCCCCAGCAGGCAGAGCCCCGCCTCTACTGATCCAGAACTCCGCCTACAGCCCCCGAAGCCCAGCCCCTAATAGGCCGGATCTTGACCCAGCCCCGCCCCCGCTGGACCAGAACTCCGCCCACAGCCTGCAGAGTCCGCGCCTACTGGTCCTCAAGCCCAGCAGGCAGAGCCCCGCCCACAGCTCTCAGAGTCCCGCCTCTGCCTACGCCTAGCGGAGCTACGCTCCCTACTGGGCGTGTTCGTTGCCAGGCAGAGCCCCACCCCTGCCGGGCCAGAAATTCCCGCCCGGCTGGCAGAGTCAGGCTCCCGGGGTTACCTACGTCCGTAGCCAGATCTACTCTGAGTAACTCTGGCCGTGAGCCCATGCAGAACTGCCCCAAGCTCTGCGCTTCCATCTGTGAGCCGGAACCTCGGCTCCACACCGACTTCGGGCCCAGAGGCTCTCCAAGGCAGATCTGGAGGCGGGCGGCACGGAGCTGGGGTTCGCCGCCCGCTGGAAAACCTGGCTGAGTGAAGGCGGAGGCGGGGAGAGCTCCAGTCCGTGGGTACAGAGGGGCACCCACTTAGCCCCAGACGTGCGCTCAGGTGTGTGCGCGTCCGGTTCAGCCGGCAGCGGGGTTCAGGGCGTCCCGCCCGAAAGTCGGGGTTGCGGCGGCCAGGTAAGGGTGGAACCACGGTACAGTGTATGAAAACGCGCCGCTGCCCCTCTGCTGCCCGGTTCATTTGTGGATTCCAAGGCCCTATAGAATTGAGCGCGGCGCTGGCCCATGAATTTTTTTTTAAATAGTGCTTCCTTATCCAAAACTTATGAATGTGTAATTAATAATCAATGATCTTGGGAGAATAACAGAAACAACTTCAAATTTCTGCATCATTTTGGCGAAAATAAAAAAATAATTTTTTAAAATTAAAAAAAGTTAAGTGCTTTAATTTTTAAAAATGTATTTGAAAGGCAGAACAAGAGCTCTGCCTGCAACAGGTGCCGCTGGGCAGCCGAAGCCTGGAGCGAGTGACTGAATCCGGGTCTCCCGCGCAGGTGGAGGGCACAGGAGTACTTGGGCATCACCTGTTGCCTCCCAGGAAACGCATTCAGAAGCCGTCTCCCAAGCGGGGGGGCAGCCGCACTGTCACTAGGCACTCCAGTATGGGATGTGGGTGTCCCAAGCAGCGTCTTTACGACTGTGCCAAACATCCACTCCAAATGTCTTTTTGTATCTGAGGCCTTCATGAACTTTTTTTTTTTTTTTTTTTTGACAGGCAGAGTGGACAGTGAGAGAGAGAGAGAGAGAGAAAGGTCTTCCTTTGCTGTTGGTTCACCCTCCAATGGCCGCCGCGGCCGGCGCACCGCGCTGATCCGATGGCAGGAGCCAGGTGCTTCTCCTGGTCTCCCATGGGGTGCAGGGCCCAAGCACTTGGGCCATCCTCCACTGCACTCCCTGGCCACAGCAGAGAGCTGGCCTGGAAGAGGGGCAACCGGGATAGAATCCGGCGCCCCGACTGGGACTAGAACCCGGGGTGCCGGCGCTGCAGGTGGAGGATTAGCCTATTGAGCGCGGCGCTGGCCCATGAATTTTTTTTTAAATAGTGCCTCTTTATCCAAAACTTATGAATGTGTAATTAATAAACAATGATCTTGGGAGAATAAAAGAAACAACTTCAAATTTCTGCATCATTTTGGCGAGAAGCTTTGAGCATAGTCCAGTTTGTGAAACTGAAATTAAAAGATAAGTTTATTTTGGTGCAAAAAATATTTTTTTTGAGATCCATGCATGCAAAAGGTCTTCAAAAACATTCGTGGAAAATGTATATTATTTCATGCACTTTAAGTAGCTACTAGTTTTGTACCTCGGGGCCTCAGAGTTGCGGGGAAGCAAGGCCGATGTTTTTGTGCTTGGCTTCTTCGCAGGGTTGGGAGTTTTGTCTTGGTGAGGACAATCCCTAAGACACCTTCAAAGCCACCTGATCCAGGTGCTCCATCTTACCTTTAAGGAGACTCCGAAATTCCGCCACACCGTTCTTTGGGGGAGCTTGGCTGTGGCTCCACTTCTTCCTCATTTCAGCTGAGAACCAGTTCAGCTTACCAAGCTGTCCCTCTCTTCTCCTGCTTTCTCCATTTTCAGTGGGACTGAAATGAACAAGGTCCCTGTGGGAACTCGGGTTCCCCTGGCTCCCTGAGAAATGGGGAGAAATTCTCACCACCAGCTTTCAGGAGGCTTTCTGGGTTTGCTTTTTCAAAACTGCACTCTGAGCATGTTATTGTCTCAACAAATTTTCATTATCTGTGAGTTGATTCTTCTAGCTCCTCTCATTTCTCCTCATAGCTGGATGGCACACTTACTGAGAACGTTGGGTTGCTAATAGCAGGCTCAGTCGGATGCTTGCGGACCCAGTCCTGCACTGCATGCTTTGCTATATAGCCTGCCATCTATTCAACATCACTGAGAGTGGGACTAAAACATACTCCACTTTGGCATAAGCATTTTGAGCTGAAGGCAATTGAGAAGTGGATACAAGAAAAGCTGTCTGGGGCCGACACCATGGTCCCGCTGCTCCTCTTCCAATCCAGCTCTCTGATTGTGGCCTAAGCAGGCAGTAGAGGATGGCCCAAGCACTTGGGTGCTTGCTTGGGCCCCTGCACCCTGGTGGGAGACCCAAAAGAAGCTCCTGGCTCCTGGCTTTGGATCAACCCAGCTGGCCATTGCGGCCATTTGGGGAGTGAACCAGCGGATGGAAGACCTTCCTCTATGTCTCTTCATCTGTCTGCAAGTCTGCCTCTCAAATAAAAAAATGAAATCTTTAAAAAAGAAAGAAAAGCTCTTTGCTCTCCCCCTACTTGCCTGAAAGAACATAAATTTGCAGAGGTGAAGCTGCTGCCCACACTACTGGGAGGGACAGAGGTGAAGCATGTTAGACCCTTACCAGTCCGGAGTGAGCCCCAGAACAATCTACAATTACCAACTTGACTTTTAGCCTTGGTCTACCGTGAGTTTCCCAAATAGGACCTTCCCCTAGAGAATGCAGGTTTTTCCTTTGACTGGTCAGTCTTTTTCCATTGCCAAGATGCTGCATAAGCCCATGTGCTAACCAAACCTGCCAATTACTCATCTCTGGGGACTCCCACATGCTACACGCGCGATGCACATGTTGGTAGACTTCTGTTTGGTTTTCTCTGGTTAATGTGTCTCTGGCCAGTCTAATTAACGGGACTGCACCTGGAGTAGCTAAGATGTGTAAAGGAAGAGATTATTCCTTCCCCTACAAGAACCTCTGTTTCCTTATGTTGAGGATCCTACTGTTTCCATCACATGTTAAATCATTCAGGGCACCTGCACATCAGCCAGACCCTGGAAGCCTGTGGCTTGTAAGCTTCAGGCAGTGCCAAGCTCCCCTGATGAGGGAGTAGGGCTTTCGTCACTGCGATGGATGAGACTGCTCTCCATGTCCCCTCCCATTCTCCCAGCAGGCCTGTGGAAAGCCATATGCCCCTACATGGTTTGCAGGAGCCTGCCTTATCTGCCTGCTGACTGCCCCACAGAACAGACATGATGTTGGAGAAAACAAACAACACTTCAGAGGCACATCTTGGTTTGAGTGTCTTGGACTTGGCAGTAAGATACTACAAGATGGTGAAAAGCAAAAAATTGAGGTGTTCACCCCAGGGTAAGATCTGGAATCAGAAAAGTGGGAAGTGTCTCCAACACATGTTCTGCTCACACCAACTGCCATTTCCAATTAACTGAATGCTTTTTTTTAAATATACTTGTTATGGAAATCATAGAGTAGGAGAGAGGAATCTTCCATCTGCTGATTCACTCCCCAGATGGCTATAATGGCCAGCATTGGGCCAGGCTGATGCCAGGAGCTTCATCTGGGTCTCCCACATGGGTGGCAGGGGCCCAAACACTTGGGTCTTCTGCAGCCTCTCCCAAGCCATTAGCAGGGAGGTAGATTGGAGGTGGAGCAGCTGGGACATGGACCAGCACCCATGGGATGCCGGCATTGCAGGCAGTGGCTTTACCAACTCCAACTTACCAAAGACTTAAAAGAGAAAGTCATCTTGCCAGGGGCGTAACCCATATTCTGAGAAAGTCTGCTTTTCTTTTACCAGATGTTGCCCTGGGAAAAATGTTCTTCTGCCTACTCACTCTGCATTTGTTCAAAAATAAGAGTCCTCAAATAGAAAATCAAACTCTAGTAGCTGAGTCCTTGTCCCCAAACCTGCCATCAGTCAAATGCTTGGCTGTATAAGATCTGTGACCTCAAGGGCCAGCACTGTGGAGTAGTGGGGTAAAGCCTTTGCCTGCAGTGCCAGCATCCCATGTGGGTGCCGGGACTCAAACCACTTGCAATCCAGCTCTCTGCTATAGCCTGGGAAAGCAGTAGAAGATGGCCCAAGTCCCTGGGCCCCTGCACCCACAAGGGAGACCTGGAAAAACATCCTGGCTCTTAGCTTTGGATCAGCGCAGTTCCGGCCAACTGGGGAGTGAACCAGTGGATGGAAGACCTCTCTCTCTTCTGCCTCTCCTTCTCTCTGTGTAACTCTTTCAAATAAATAAATAAATCTTTAACAAAAATAAAAGATCTGTGATCTCTGTCCTGCTGCCTAGGACTACAGTGGATTTTCCAGGATAAATTTTCATATTCTCTCCCTGCATTCATTCAATTCTCTGAGATAGGTTTTGTTGTCTTCCATTTTACAGATGGGAAAACTAAGGCTTGGGTAGTAACTAATGAATAGGGAAGCAGAGATCATTCCCACAGATCTCATGCACCAGAAAGGCAGGAGTTTTAGTAATTAGAAATAATTATGTGGGCCCAGCACTGTGGTGTAGTTGATTAAGCCACTACCTGCATTGCTCGCATCCCATATGGCACCAGTTCAAATCCCGGCTGCTCCACTTGTGATCTGGCTCCCTGCTAATGAGTCTGGCAAAACAGCAGAAATGTTTGGGTCCCTGGCACACACATGGGAAACTCAGGGAGAGTTCCAGGCTCCTCAACCCTGGCCAATGTAGATGATA